AAAAGACCATATTTTATCTTTGGTCGAATCAGAAAAGAAGGCTCTTTGCCCTATAGATACTAAGCATTGGATATTATTTGATAAAATAACAAGTTTTCCATATTATCATTGGCGTATACAAGCATATAAAAATTTTATATCAAATAGAAAATCTCTAGAGTTGGCTGAAAAAAGAACTTTAAGTATTAAGCTCTCAAAGAAGTATCAAAATGAATATGTATCTTATATATCTAGCTTACCGATATAAACTAGATTAGTGAGAAGAAAAAACATATACCAACTTAAAACATTCCTTAGATACAAAGGGGAATCGGAGATTCAGCACTCTGTACCATCATAACTCTAAAAGGTCATCCATTGGGTCTGCTCCGCAATAGAATTATATATAATATATTTTTTTTTCTAAATTGTATAAATGCAGGTTGGTAGTATGTGACCTCTAATCACAATATTATATTTCATGAATTTTCTAGCAAATTCCAGTTGTTTCAAGAGCTTGGAACAAAAAGTATAAAATCTCATTACTTTTCATATCTCGAAAATTAATCAATTTCTTAATCATAAATATATCTACTTCTGCATCAAATATTCTTAACCAAATTTCCAATTCATGTTACATCTGCCAAGAACTAATTAAAAAACCAGTCACTGTTTTGGAATATGATCATATCTTACATTTCAACTGTGCTATTAGATTTTTTGCAATTAGTGAAAATATTATCTGCCCAGTTAGAAATTGCCAAGATCAAATAAAAAATATAGAAGCAATCGAAGAAGATATCAGTGATCTTGTGAAGCTTTAAAATTTGAAAATACTCCTAAAGTTAGATCTTTTCTTCGAGAAATTTCTAAAGATTTACCCTATTTTGACGTGTCATCTAAAATGAAAGAAATACTTCCCTCGACTGCACAGGGATTTCTTCTCTTATACGTAAATATAGATCAAGCTGAAGAATTACTCGCTCGCTCAGAGAGAAATGTGATTCGTAGAAAAAAGAAGTTGTCTTGTCTTATTATCAGTTTGGGAAAGCAGATGCAGAAAAACTTAAAGAGTTACTAAAGATATCGATCTTCCTATGCATAACACAGAGTAAGATAGTTGCTAAAGTTAAAAAATTACTCCCCAGTGGTACTTCTATTAATGTTATAAAGAGAAGAATTGCTATAGCTCAAAAGATTTATGATATCTTCAGCACAATTGGTGAGGATAAGATCCAACGAATCAGAAATTTCAGCGCATCAAGTATTGGGTTTTCAAAAAAGATGAAATTGAGTTTATTAAAACCGGAGATAACAAATCTAAATTTAGAATAAGAAAGAGAAAGTTCGAATATATAGACAGACTTCGATATATTGCAGAGCAATAACCCAAAGGGTCTTAATTCTGGTATAAATTCTTTAGAGTCGAATTATATAATTGATGTATCATATATGAATGATACAGAGATGATATTAGACAAATAATGATTTTTATATCATATGACATCATGCGGTTTTGGCTCGACATCATATGATCAAGTGTATTAAATTTGCTAATCTAATACTATAAAGGGTTATAAGACATATATTCAATTTTTTATTATATTTTGTAAGATTTTAGGAAAAATTTTATACACAGAGTGTCCTGCTTTGCAGTAATAAATATCGATATTTTTTGAAAAATTATAATTTTACATGAAAATATATTTTATGATATTATATAGCTTTTCATGAAAACTATTCAAATTTTCTTACTCAACTACCACCTTTATTAATAAAAGCTAGATGGAATTGGCTTACAACTTGAAAAAAAAATCTATTATCAGAAAGTAAAGCCAGTAGTATTAGCTCTATTATAGAGGTATTTTTAAAATATGAAGTTGATAGATACTAAAGAAATAAAAAATCTCGATATAATTCTACAATAGAAGTAGAGGCAGAGTCTTATTATACAGTGATACCAGTTTCAAAACCTAAAAAGTCAGGATTCGAAGAAGAAACAAAGTCTAGAATCTCTGATTCTTTCCCTAATAGCTTGCTTTATAGACCCGAAGGGTCATATTCTGAAGAAGAGGTTAATACTAGAATCAAAGAAGCTACAGATAATTTACGTCAAGAATTTATTAAATCTACTGAGGAAACCTTAAAAACTATTAAG